TTATGAAATCTTCTATCTAATTTTATTAATTAGTTTGATTTCTTTATAAACCTTTAAGGGAAAGGAATACAGGTGGTTGCAACTTGCAGCCAGTTTGACTTGCAAACTCTGCTTAAAAAATTATGGTGGTTGCAACTTGCAGCCAGTTCGACTTGCAAACTCTGCTTAAAAAACTATGAGAAAACTAGGATAGAGGGTTTAATTAACTTGCCCCAAATCACAAGCCTAGTAAGTGATGCACAGCTGAATTCAGATCAGGCAGTCTGGCTTCAGTGGTGATATTCACAATCTTCACTCCAGGAATTCTTCGTCAAGTGTGCACACATGCACTGCACACACACACACACACACACACACACACACACACACACACACACGTACTGCAGACTCCTTTGGAAGTTTAGTGAATCTTAAAGTTTTCTAATGAGAATAATATTTCAAACACACAAAATAAAATACCTAGAAGCTCAAAGAAAACCAATTATACTGAAATATAGTTATCAAACTGTGCCTAGAGGACATAGTTTGGGTTTAACAGGAAAAGTTAAGGAATGGGTCCCCAGGAATGGGCTCTACCACTGGAAATGCCCAGGTAGAGATTAGATCTTTATTCTAGAGCTTCAGAAATACCTTAGCCAGATGAATGTCTGATTTGAAGCTATAATTTTATGGTTCTAATTTTTATATTTTCATAAATCTGAATAAAGTCTTTTTGCCTACAGTTGAAACTTATATATTAACGTGCTATGTATAAAGCGGATAGATTATTGTGATCATTCATTTCCCAGTTAATATTTCTAATAAATCCATTTATATAAGAATTTAAAGTGTTTTACTACTTTGAATAGGTAAAAGAGACAAAATATGTAATATTTTATCACTTTTTAATTATGCAACTTTATTTTAAAATGTTATCATGATAAAACAAGACACTGACCTATTTAACATAGTGTATTTATTATTTTTCCGCGTTCATACAATCTTAGAATATATTTCAACTTAAAATGAGTAAGAAGCCTCTAAAATATAATACTTCTTTTGAAAAACATGGGCATACAAAAAAAACAATATTAACTACAGAAATGCACAAAAGATTAGTAATTGGTGCAAATCCAATATTTCGACATTAGTTAATATTAAGTAAATTGACACATTCTTTTGCAGTCTTAAGATCATACCCTTATAAAGTTCAAGTAAGTGCATCATTTTCCATTCCAGCAACTCCTTGATTTTATACACATTTAAAACAACAGCAACAATAACAACAATGTTATTAGTACTCATTAAACCTTTAATGAGTGCCCAGTACTGCAAGTTATGTTACATGTATTTTGGCTTAATTTTCACAACATCTCTAGTGGTTAAATACTATGTCCACATTTTATAGGTTAAATACTATGTCCACATTTTATAGAAATTGAGTCTTAGAAACACTAAAAATACTTGCTCAAGATTGCACAATGAAAAAGTGATGGGACTGGAATTCAACCTGCAACAGACTGATCTTATCTAATTGCTAAATATATGTCCCTCAAAGAGAAACAGAGCTCGTGCTTTAACAGATCTCCAGCACCCAGTAAGGACTTTAAACAAAGAAGGTGCACAATAAGTAATTATTGGATTAAAGATTGAAATTTTTAAAATGGGGGTTTTATTTTAAAAAGAAAATGATAATTTTTGTTCAAGAAAGGGAATGAGGCAAAAGTACATTTCCACCTTAACCTTTTTTCATTCATCTGACTGATCTTGAAGCAAGAAGAAAGACTTTATGATTTGGTTAGAAATGAACAAATAATCCTAAAATTTATATGGAACAACAAAAGACCCCAAATATCCAAAGCAATCTTGAGAAAGAAGAATAAGTTGGACATTTCACGCTCCCTGATTTCAAACTATACTAGTTTTTAATAATCAAAACAGCATGATACTAATACAAAAACAGACACAGATCAATGGAACAGAATAGAGAGCCCAGAAATAAGCCCTCACTTACATGGTCAGCTAATCTATACAAAAGAGGTTAAAATATGCACTGGAATAACAACAGTCTCTTCAACAAGTAGTATTGGAAAAAATGAACAGATATATGCAAAAGAAAACAAAACAAAGCAAAACAACAAACTGAACTACTCTCTTACACCATATACAAAAAAAAAAACAAACAACCAAACAAAAAACAAACAAAAAACCCCCCCACAAATTTGTGTTAAAGACTTAAATGTAAGGCCTGAAACCATAAAACTCCTACAAGAAAACATAGAAGGTAAACTATTTGACATCAGTCTGATATCTTTTTGGATACTTCACCTTGAGCAAGGGAAACAAAAACAAAAATAAACAAATGGAACTACATCAAACTAAAAAGCTTCTGCACAGCACAGGAAACCTTCAACGAAGTGAAAAGGCAACCTACTGAGTGGGAGAATATATTTGCAAATGATATTGATATCCAAAATATATAAGAAACTCATACAACTTGTTAACAAAAAAATAATCTGTTTGGAAAATGGATGCAGAACATGAAAAGACATTTCTCCAAAGGAGACATGCAGATGGACAACAGACACATGAAAAGATGCTCACCATCACCAATCATCAGAGAAATGTGAATCAAAATTACAATGAGATTCCAGCTCACAACAGTCAAAATGGCTATTACCAAAAAGTCATGAAATCACATGTGTCTGCAAGAATGAGGAGAAAGGGGAACCCTTGTGCACTGTTGGTGGGACTACAAACTGGAGCAGCCACTATGGAAAACAAAAAGCTAAAAATAAATATACCATTCACCCCAACATTTTCACTTCTGGGTATTTATCCAAAAGAAACAAAAACACTAATTTGAAAAGATATATATATCCATATGTTCACTGCAGCATTATTTACAACAGCCAAGATATGGAAACAACCTGTGCGTCCATCGATAGATGAATGGACACAGAAGATGTAATACATGCACTGGAATATTACACGGCAATAAAAAAGAATAAAATTTTGCCATTTGGACAATGTGAATGGATCTAGAGGCTATTATGTTAAGTGAAATAACTCAGGCAGAGAAAGACAAATATCTTATGGTTTCACTTATATGTGGAATCTAAAGCAAAATGAAACAAAACAGACAGATTTATAGAAACAGAGACCTAAGGAATGGTTATCAGACGAGAGGGGCATGGGAAGACAGGAGAAAAGGAGATGGGGAATATAGTCAATAATATTGTGATAAATTTACACGATGATGATCACTAGAATTAGTGGAGTGTTACAGTGTAAGGTATAAAAATGTCAAATCACTAAATTGTACACCTGAAACTAATATAATCAGTATAAGATTATATACTACTATACTTAAATTAAAAAAAAATTTTTAAATTTTAAAAAGAACTTAAAAAATGAACTAGCATTCCAACACTACGTTTCTTCATAAACTTCTGTACCTTATTTAGCTTCATATATTAAATATTTGTCTTGGAGATGTTTGTGCTGAAGCACATTGAGACCTTAAAAGTCCAAGACAAATTTTAAAAACTGTTAATACCATTTGTCTTTGCAATGCAGGGGCTTGTGTTTTTCTCAAAGTACTCACAAACAGTCAAATCCATGATAGATTGTTTCCTGAATTCTTTTCATATACTATGGTCAATTTAAGAAGATGCAGCCTATCAGTATTATTATTTATAGAAATCTCCAAGTATCAGTAATCCAATATAGTTTTACTACTTCCCCCCACCCTGTTGTAATGGAAAACTGAAAAGTGTTCTATTTTTTCTTCTGCCATGTCTTAACAAGCCACAGTCTTCAAGATATCCTAAAACTAAAATATCAACTTTTATGTGCTAGTGGTTTGACTTGAGTACAATTATTCTTCAAAGGCACACTACTTAAAAATTAGATGCTTTTTGGGTAGAAGTCTATATGGGTAGGAAAGGAAAAGGAAATGAATACTTCAAGGTGAAGTATTCAAAAGATACTTCATTCGTCCCCGCCATTGAAACTGTATTTGGGAGCACTTTCAAAATGGGCCAGGCGAAAAGAAAAATAAATTGATATTTTATTTTTTAAAAGAAAACAAAAAATATATATATATATATATGTAGGTTATATTATATTGAAAATGAGACCCAAAACTAATACTAAGACTAATAATATTTTGGAAATAATTTTGAGATGAAAAATTTGTCATGAATTTAATAGTTAATAATTTTCTAAATGTTTAGTCTTAGTATTAAAAGAATTAATCATATCTATGATATTCAGTTAGGTTTTGAAAGTCAATCAGATTTGAGTAATTTACTTTCTATGTTTTAAACTTTAAAATTTTCCATTTGATTAATTATTTGCTATATTAATTATCAAGTGTGATAGCAATCCACACACCTATTAAGAAAGCATTATTGTTCAATTTGAGATCCTCTGAATTGTTCTCTTGTTTAAAGTTGACTCACAACTCAAGAAATTGGACCCACTGAATCAAAATTATTCAAAAATATTCAAAAGAATCTCTTCACAATATCAAATTTTCCATGAAAATATTCTATTGCTATGAGAAAAAATTGTTATGCCCAACATTCTTAATTAAAGTTCTACAAGTGGATACCTTCAGAGTACCACAAGGCTGTGCAGCTGAGTGGGAATATTCTGGGTTAGAAGACAAGCAAATATTTTATCTTGAGCTTCTCTAAGTAGTCTTAATCTAAAGTATGTTTATAGGATTCTGGAGTTTATGAGGCCCTGAGTTTATGTTCACAATTTTGACGATATGCGTATTTTTCTATGAAAATCGTCTATAGATTAAAACAAATTTTCAAATGGAATAGTAATCTCAAAAGGATTCCAAACACTGCACTAACTTTTAGGCATGATCTTTCATACCTCTCAATCCTGGCTTTTTATTTTCATGAATTTACACTAAATAACTCAAAAGGCAGATTCTAAGTTTAATTTTTTGTTGCTCTGAGAACAAAACTGATGATACTAAATCTCAGAGGGGAGATCTCTGTTCATTGCATTGGATATCTCAGAGTAGTTTTCCCAAGACTTAAATATTGTTTACTTAGTTTCTTCATCACAGCTGTCTTCACTTCCTGGTTTCTCAAAGTATAGACAAGTGGATTCAGAAATGGGGTGAAGATGGTATAGAATACAGAGAGAACTTTGTCCACCGGGAAGTTTGTGAAAGGCCACACATAGATAAAGATGCAGGGCCCAAAGAACATTAACACAACAATGAAATGTGCAGTGCAGGTAGAAAAAGCCTTAGAAGATCCTGTAGAGGAGTGGTCCTTGATAGTAACAAGAACAATGATGTAGGAAGTAAGCAAAAGCAGAAAACTTACAAGAGCGATCACACCACTAGTTGAGATCATGAGGATCCCAAGAACATATATATCTATACAAGCCAGCTGAATGACCAAAGGAAGGTCACAGAAGAAACTATCTACAACATTGGGACCACAGAAGGGTAAAGAGAGAGTAAAAGCTAACTGGCTAATTGTATGCAGGAAGCCCACCGTCCAAGAACTTACCACAAGCCCGACGCATACTCTTTGGCTCATAATTGTTGAATAATGAAGAGGTTTGCATATGGCAATGTACCTGTCAAAAGACATGGAAATCAGCAGCACAATCTCAGTCCCAGTGAAGAGGTGCAAAAAGAAGATCTGAGAGATGCATCCCTCAAAGGAGATGGTCTTGCACTGAGTAAAGAAGTCCATGATCATCTTTGGGGTGGCAAAGGAGGACAGGCACATGTCAATGATAGACAGATTGCTGAGCAGGAAGTACATGGGGGAGTGAAGGTGTGGGGTGGACATAACAGTTAGCAAAATCAGGCAGTTGCCCAACATGGTCATTAAATAGAAAGTAAAAAACATCGCAAAGAAGAAAATCTGGAGCTCAGGAGAATCAGTAAGTCCATTTCTATAACACAAATTCAGACACTCTTGAATGGTTGAACCCCTCCATTAATTTGCAGACTCTGTTCTAAAATGACAAAATGGAACAAAATGACAAAGCTAGAAAATGTGATACTTTTACAATTACATATGAAAGAGTTATGATATCAGTTAATAATTTACTACAACATTGATTACCTAAAATCTAACTAATAACTATCTCAGTGAGGATTTTTCTTTTTGGAAGCATTTATCAATTGCTGTCAGAAATCACTTCAATTGGACAACTTCTTGATTTTGACTAGCATTAGTACTTGTTAGGTTATATTCATCACATACCCATAAAACAATTTTTCTGTTCTAAATACTGACTAAGCAGTTACATAATCCATATTTATAGAGGAAGATAATACTAAGGTAGTGTGCTCTACTTAATAAATGAGGTAAATAAAAATTTAAATATGGGTTGAAATCTCAAAGCTTTCTGTTAAACCAAAAAAATGCAATTATGTTAAATGCACTATTTTTGAGCACTGGTTTTAACTAACAGTTTAACGTACTGATTTCAAAAGACCCATTTAGCATTCTATGAGAGTGTTAAATGATTTTTGACTTAAATGACTTCTCATTATCTCAGGTACAGTAAAATCCAGTTCCATTCTAATTTTGCTTGCACATTTTCAAATTGTTTTATCAGTATTGATAAGTACTAGTTTACTATTAACATATAAATGATAAATTAATTTCTTAATTCCATAAAACTACTGATGACCAAAAGATGTACTTGTAACATATGAGAGTTATTCTCAACTTTGTTACTTTATAATGTCATAGAAATATTTTTTAAAAAAAGAAAAAAGTTTTTTATTCTTTCTCATGCTACTCAAACACAGTCATTTCTTTTAGACTAGAAAAAAAGATTCTTGGACTGAAGCAGGTAATATACAAGATGAGCAATGGATATCTTGCAGTACCAGAATATAAGATACTCAAAACAAAAAAAGCAAACAAAAAAACCCACATTGATGATGGTATGTCAAAGTGATATCAGAGCTATCTGAAAGAAAAAAAAAAAACATACTTTAAGGACTCAGACTCATTTTTCAAAATTGAGTTTTCAATTTACAGCACATTCCAAGTTCTGCAAATATCTACTATGAAGTTTTTCATCTAAGTGACCTCCTGTTTTTCTCATATGAGGAAAAATCTGGATCCATCTCCATCTACTTGCACATGTTCAAAATTTTCTGTCAATATTGATAAATATTTTTAAAATTTGTCAAAGAACAATATTCTAGAAATCTTAAAACTGAACTGTGGCAAAGTGGTTAAGAGGGTTAAGGTGTTCTTGACCTGTTGTGTGACCATGATCATACCTCAGTAGCCTCTCTAAGATTTGACATCTTTGCCTATGAGAATTAAATTATATGGTCTATATAATACACTAAGCATATTTTCTGGGCAACGTTCAAGAACACTCTGGGTCTCATATTCCAAATTTAAGAATACTGTTGAAAAAATAATTTGCTTGTTACATTTTATTAATAATAATAATAATTATGGCAAAAATATCTAACTAAGTTTCAATTCAAGGATTTAGAAAAAAATATGTGCTTCCAAAATTATTTTATCTTTTTAAAGTTAAATTATTTCTTTTCATGTGCAAACTATTAGTACCTTAATATATTAAATGCATTGAAAATTCTCAGAAATATTCAAATATTTCTATTTTCCTGACTTAATAATGTAATTATTAATGAGAACGTGGAAACTATTGATACCTAATTTACATAGGTATATGCATATAATTAATATATTACATATTCATTGTAAGTGAATAGTGTCAGGTTTTTTTCCTTTCATTTCCGGAAGGATATCTCTAATATCTACTTAACAGAATCATCTATCTTTATGTTTTGAAATTATATATATATTTTTTACTACTCCTCTATTATCTTTGTTTTATACAATTATTAAATGAAAAATGTTTTTACTACCTGAAGAACACAAACTACAACTGCTTCTCGAGATCCTTAATATTATTTCCAGGTTTTAACCTACCTGCTATTCATCAGGAATCAAAAACACCACATCCTTCCAGATTTACAAGCTTACTGAAATCACCATGGTCCTTAGTAAGCATCAGCTATCTGGTGTATGAATATCTATTTTCTCTAGTCTTGGTATAAAAGCCACCAGAAGGCAGCGGCATTTAGGAGATCAGGAATTAGACACTGCAATCTACTTGCAGTGGGAGTTACTAAAATGTTGAGCTGACTTTTCCCAAATTTGCAACAAGAACTATAAGGTGTGTCTTTGCTATTTAAAGTGAGGATGAACATTCATGATGAAACTTTTCATTAGAGAAAGAGCACAACTGGGACTAGCCTAGGGGAAGGAGACGGTTGAGCAGTCATTTAGGGAGCAAAGAATTGCTCCTTTGAATATGGAAATATGCCACCTTTCTGTCCCACTGTTCTATGTTCTAAAATTGGAAAATTACTCTTTTAGGCCCAGGCACTTTGTCACCAGCAAACTCTTGCTTACTGAAAGAATCATGTAAAGGAAAAGTAACTCATTAAAGTTTTTACAGGACATTAAAAATTAATACAGGCTAATAGATATAATGATAGCTGCCACCACAGATAGATGAAATCTGGAGAAGGGGAAGTTAGAAAGCCTAAAGTTACTGGAAGAAAGAAAGAGTTACTACGCAAGCACCCTAGATGAATGGTGTAAGACTTAAATTACACAAATAAATGTAAAGCATTCAGCACAATGCCCGGCACAGAGAAAGTGCTAAATAAAATATAGTAGAAGGAATGTCAGAGGTAATTATAACTATTAACATTAGTTTTTGCTATGTTCATGACACATAATCTAGGAAGATACTAGATGTGAATTTCTCAACCTGAAGTCTTGCCATATTTACTTGAAGGTCAACCATTTATCTGTGGCTTGCTCTCCAAACACAACTTTTCCTCCAAATACCTCAGTATTATGAAGGCTTCACAGCTACCATATGTAGCCTACATTCCCCACAGAACTAGCAATGGAGCCCACGAGCAACCTCCCTAGCTAACCACATTTCTTTATGGCTTTAAAATAAGAAAATATGCAACTTTGTTTTTAAAGTTTTTCTTTAAAATATTCTCATCTATTAAAGAGAAAAAAAGGAAATGACTAAAAAAAAAAATAGCCAACCAACACAATACTTAAAAGATTTAGTAAATCTAAAACTTTACTAAAAATTTATTTGCCCCGGTTTAAAACAAAAGTTAAGAGTATATAATTATTACTAGAGTTACCGTCGAAAAGGCAAAAGAATTAACATAAAAATAGTAGCAATAAAAGATAATTCAGAAAGAGAGAGCATGGAAGAGTTTAGGGGCATTATGAAGCTGTCCAAGATCTTGGTTGTGGTGATGGTAATATGAATTTATACATGTGCTAAAATTCATAGAACTACATACCAAAAGAAACCCAAATCAATTTTACTTTCAGATAATTTATAAGGTAGAATATTTAGTTACAAAATAAACGAATAAAACTAACAGCTTTTTTTTTATAAATCAATTACTTGTAAAGTATATAGTAAAAACACAGCCTATTCAGATAAATAATGAGATATATAAATAGAAATAATTCGAATCAAAAAAGTTTTGTATTTATATGACAACAAGGAATACTACTCTACAAAAGAAAAAAATAACTAGAATAAATTGAATTACTGTATTATTAGATAGAGAAACTCAATATTGTTCAACATATAAACTCCAATGACCTCTAAGGTTTTTTTTTTTAATATTTAATTAAATTTATTGGGGTAACATTGGTTAATACAATTACATAATTTTCAGGTGTACATTATCATTTGACATCTGTATATTCTGTTGTGTGTTTACCACCCAAATCCAGTTTCCTTCAGCTATCAAATATTTGATCCCCTTTACCCACTTAACCCTCCCCCTAAATCCTATATTTGATCTTTTTGACACTGTTTACCTCCCCCTTCCTCCCCCACCCCACTAGTAACCACTAGTCTATAGTCCTCTGGTAACCACTAACATATAGTCCATGTCCACAAGTTTCTGTTTGTTTGTCCTGCTCATTTGTTGCTTTTAGGTTTATATCCCACATATAAGTGATATCATGTGATTTTCAATTTTTTTGTCTGACTTATTTTGCTTAGCATGATTATCTCAAGGTCCATCCATGTAGTTGCAAATGGCAGTATTTCATCTTTTCTTATGCCTGAGTAATATTACATTGTATATATGCACCACAGCTTCTTTAGCCAATCATCTATTGTAGGACACTTTGGTTGCTTCCATGTCCTTCCATAGTTCCATGAACTATGAATAATTCTGCTATGAACATCGATGTGCAAATATCTTTTTGAATATGGGTTTTCAAGTCTTTGGGGTAAATATTCAGTAGAGGGATTGCTGGATCATATGGTAGAACAATTCTTAGTTTTTTGAGGAACCTCCACACTGTTTTCCATAGTGGCTGTAACAAATTGCAGTCTCACCAGCAGTGCATGAGGGTTCCTTTTTCTCTGCATCCTCTCTAACATTTGTTATTACTTGCCCTGTTGATTATAGCTATTCTAACAAGTGTGAGATGGTATCTCATTGTGGTTTTGATTTGCATTTCCCTAATAGCTAGCGATGTTTAGCACCTTTTCGATTATTTGTTGGCCATTTGTATGCCCTCTAGGGAGAAGTGTCTGTTCAGTTCCTCTGCCCATTTTTTGATTGCATCATTTTGTTGTTGTTGTTGTTATTCAGTTGTATGAGTTCTTTGTATATTTTGGATATTAGGCCCTTATTGAAGATGTTGCTTGCAAATATATTTTCCCATTCAAATAGTTCTCTCTTAACCTAGTTGACGCTTTCTTTTGTTGAGCAGAAGCTTTTTAGTTTGATGTAGTTCCATTCATTTATTTTAGCTTTTACTTCTCTTGCGTTTCAGGTCAAATTCATAACATCCTCTTTAAGCCCAAGGGCCTTGAGTTTCGTTCCTATGTTTTCTTCTATGCATTTTATTGTTTCAGGTCTTATATTCGGGTCTTTAATCCATTTTGAGTTAATTTTGGAGTGTGGTGATAGACAACAGTCTAGTTTCGTTGTTTTTCAGGTGGCTTTCCAGTTTTCCCAGCACCATTTTTTGGAGACACTTTCCTTTCTACACTTTATGTTTTTGGCTTTTTTGTCGAAAAATATTTCCCCATATAAATATGGGTTTACTTCTGAACTCTCTATTCTGTTCCTCTGGTTTGTGTGTCTGTTTTGCTGCCAATACCATGCTGTTTTGATTAGTGTTGCTTTGTAGTATAATTTCAAGTAAGGCAGAATGATGCCTCCAGGCTCGTTCTTCTTTCTCAAGATGGCTTTAGCAATTCAGAGTCTTTTGTGCTTCCATACCTCTGATGATTTTTTGTTCTATTTCTTTAAAAAGTGCTCAAGGGATTTTGATGGAGATTGTATTAAATCTATATAATGCTTTAGGTAATATAGTCATTTTAACTATGTTGATTCTTCCAATCTAAGAACATGGAATAT